GATGCACTCCCACAATCGATTATTTCGGTAATTTGTGTGCGTCCCTTTTTCGTTTTCGATAGTGATTTCTTTTTCCGGAAAACTGCAAATATAATTGATAAAGCCCATAAAAAGTGTTGCATGATGAACACACTGGGCCCCAAGAAGGACGGAAGTCCGAATATTGACTTCTTTCAGTCGTCAGAGACGCTGCAGGGCTTCGAATCAATCAGGCAATGGCTGCAAAAGAATTGTAAAAAGGTGAGTACAACAACGCTGCCGACGCAAAACAAAAATGGCGCTTTAGTTCGTGGAAAAAAAAACAATCAATTGCAAAAACTCTTCCCTTTTAGTACCTGGCGCACAGCTCGGAGCCCATTACCAAGGAGTCCCTGGCTCAATTGCTTATACAATTTCTGCAATATGTGGAGGCGAAGCTGGGCAAGAATTCGGCCGAGCCGCCGGCGACCAGAATTCCGGTTAGTAGTCGTGTGTGGGGAGGGTGCTCTTTGTACAGGGTGTTCTGTGTACGTGTTTGTGTGTACATGCGAATATTATAATTTCGGGGATGGGATTTGGATATTATATTTGTGGAACGAGCAGCGTTAATCGAAATGTCTTCCCTTCCTCCCGTCAGATGCGTTGCTTTCTGGACTTTAAGAACGGCGGAGGTCTGTGCATCATCTTCTCCACGATGTTCCGATTCCGCGCGGAGCAGCGGGGAAAGAAGTTTGACTTTTCCATTGGCAAGAATCCCACGAGGAAGGATCCCAACATTCAGCTGCTGATCGAGATCGAGCAGGCTCTGGTGGAGGCGGATCTATACCGCATACCCTACATCTATATAAGGCCGGAGATCGAGAAGGGTTTCGAGGGACGGCTGCGCGAGATTCTCGACAATCGGAGGGTGGAAATCGTCACCGACGAGGAGGATGCCACGCACATTGTCTATCCGATTGTGGATCCGCATCCGGACGAGTATGCACGTCCCATTTTCAAGCGTGGCAGTCATGTGATGCTGCATTGGTACTACTTTCCCGAATCCTATGATTCGTGGACGGTCAACAGCTTCGATTTGCCGGAGAATATTCCCGAGAATCCGGAATCTCCGGCTGAGAGGTGGCGCGTCTCGGCCTCCTGGATCCTCGACTTGGAGCAGTACAACGAATGGATGGCCGAGGAGGACTATGAGGTGGATGAGCAGGGCAAGAAGAAGACCCACAAGCAGCGCATGTCCATCGACGACATCATGTCCTTTGGCGATGAAAAGAAAAAGCCCAGCACCAGCACTGGCAAGCAGAAGCGACGTCGCTCGCCCTCGCCCACAACATCCACATCGAAGCCCGGCAAGCGCAAGCGTTCCCCGGCCGTGATTCACAAGAAAACCAGAAACGATGAGGAAGATGAAGATCTGACGCGGGACCTGGATGATCCGCCGGCCGAACCGAATGTTCAGGAGGTGCACAAGGCCAGTACGGCCTTGCAATCGACTTCCAGTCCAGCACCAGGTAGCAAATCGCGTGGCGACAACGATATGATGCCCATCAAGGGTGAGTGGAAGTCTCTTTTTCTCCCTAGGATTGCATGTTGAGCATATTTTTGCATCCCTTTAGGTGGAACAATGACGGATCTGGACGATGAGATGACTGGGGGGAGTGCTGCCCAGGCACTGTCCACAGGCGATGGGGACAACTCGCAGACGGGCAAGACGAGCGACAACAGCAACACCCAGGAGTTCTCCTCGTCCGTCAAGGAGGATATGGAGGATAATGTGACCGAGCAGACGCACCACATCATTGTGCCCTCGTATTCGGCATGGTTTGACTACAACTCCATCCACGTGATCGAGAAGCGCGCGATGCCAGAGTTCTTTAACAGCAAAAACAAATCCAAGACCCCAGAGATCTACATGGCCTATAGAAACTTTATGATAGATACCTACAGGTGCCGTACTCCTATAAATACTGCTCTATCTGCCAGTTTACATCGTATTCCTTTCATTTTAGACTCAATCCCACGGAGTACTTGACCAGCACCGCCTGTAGACGCAATCTAGCGGGAGATGTGTGTGCCATTATGCGGGTGCATGCCTTCCTGGAGCAGTGGGGATTGATCAACTACCAGATCGATGCAGATCTGCGTCCCACGCCCATGGGACCGCCGCCTACCTCGCATTTCCATATCCTGTCCGACACGCCCTCGGGCCTGCAGGCCATTAATCCGCAAAAAACTCAGCAGCCATCGGCCGCCAAGACGCTGCTGGATCTCGACAAGAAGCCGCTGGGCAAGGATGGTAGCTTAGAGAGCTTGGGCGGCGACAAGAGCGGCACCCTTGGCGCCATCAAGACGGAGGCCTTGGAGAATGGAGCCGCCAGTGGATTGAGCTCTGGCGTGAGCCAATTTGGCTTGAAGCTGGATCAGTATGCCAAGAAGCCGGCTGCCATGAGGAACCGCACGGCGGCCAGCATGTCCAGGGAGTGGACCGACCAGGAGACACTGCTTCTGCTCGAGGGCCTGGAGATGCACAAGGACGACTGGAACAAGGTGTGCGAGCATGTGGGCTCCCGCACCCAGGACGAGTGCATTTTGCATTTCCTTCGACTGCCCATCGAAGATCCCTACCTGGAGGACGATGGCGGCTTCCTGGGACCCCTGGGCTGTCAGCCCATCCCATTCAGCAAGAGCGGCAATCCCATTATGTCCACGGTGGCATTTTTAGCCTCTGTGGTGGATCCCCGGGTGGCCGCCGCAGCCGCCAAGGCAGCCATGGAGGAATTTGCAGCCATTAAGGTGGGGGAAATTCATTAATTTCTTTGTTCTTTGTTAACCTTTGATGTTTCAACCTGCAATCGTAATCTCTTCTGTCGTTAGGACGAGGTGCCAGCCACCATTATGGACATCCATATAAAGAGCGTGAAGAAGGCCTCCGCCGGCGGCAAGTTCAATCCGAACTTTGGTTTGTCCAACAGCGGGATTGCGGGCACTGGCAACGACAAGGAGGATGAGGAGAGCAAGGATGGTAGCAGCGGCTCGGCCACAGCTGCCGGTGGCGCAGGCGGAGGAGCAGGAAGTGATGAGGAAATGAAGGATCTTACCAAGAAAGACGGTAATTCAATGGATATCTATAGAGATTTTAAGAGGGAATGTTCTGTTTCCTTTCTTTTTTGTTGATTGAATTTGATTTTAATGCGCAAATTTGTAATTCGTTTGAAATGTGGCCGTCATTTATTTGTTTTTTGTTTCGTTTTTATGTTCTACAACAACAACAACAAAAACCACCAACACAACAGACGATGCCAAGTCCAAAGACAAAACGAAATCGGATACCAAGACGAACACAAACACAGACTCTAGTTCCACATCATCATCATCATCATCGACAGCCACAAGCAACACGAACACTACCACAGATAATAAGAAACCGAAAGATTCGTCGGATAAAGCCAGCAAAACAGACAAATCAAATAAATCCTCACCCACAGACCCAACAGCAGCCGCATCAGCAGCAGTCGTCCCCAGTGGCAGTGGAGCAGGCGGAGTGGATGTTGACATCAAAACGGAGGAGAACAGTGGCGACGGGGAGACGAAGGATGGCAGCGATGGCTCCAAGGATGGCTCGAGTGGTCAAGGCAGCAACAAGGAGGGAGCCTTCAGTGAGAACAACATGCAGACGGCAGCAGCAGCCGCTCTGGCCTCGGCGGCCGTCAAGGCCAAGCATTTGGCTGCCCTCGAGGAGCGCAAGATCAAGTCTTTGGTGGCCCTGCTGGTCGAGACGCAAATGAAGAAGCTGGAGATCAAACTGAGGCACTTTGAGGAGCTGGAGGCCACCATGGAGAGGGAGCGCGAGGGCCTGGAGTACCAGCGACAGCAGCTGATTACAGAGCGTCAGCAGTTCCATTTGGAGCAGTTGAAGGCCGCCGAGTTCCGGGCCCGCCAGCAGGCGCATCATCGTCTGCAGCAGGAGCTCCAGGGCCAGGCAGCCGCTGCCGGTACCATGATCCTGCAACAGCAGCAGCAGCAGCAACAACAGCCGACGCCGCCACCGCAGCAGCCACAACAGCAGCAGCCACTGCCACAGCATCTGCATGCGCAGCAGCAGCAGCCACTGCCGCCCCATCAGGCGCAGGTGCAGCCCCAGCCGCTGGCCGCACCATCGGCACAGCATCAGCCCCTACCGCCGCACATAGCAGCTGTGGGCGTGGGTCCGCCGCCAAATGGGGCGTCTTTTGCAGCGCCGCCCATGGCGACGGCAGCTACTGGTGGAGCACCTCCACCAGGAGGCGGAATACCTGCCGTTTTGGCCACTGCCAGCGAACAAGCAGGAGCAGCGGCAGCAGTCGCCGCAGCAGCAGCCGCAGCCGCAGCGGCGGCGCAACCTCAGGCACCCACAGCGATGGGTAAGTGATTAAAAAAAGGTTTCCAATTGAATGGGAAAGATTAATGAACTTCTCTGGTCATCTAGATACCACACCGCCAATCAGTGCACCTGTTGCCGAGGCCCCAAGTGCACCGGGGGGACCGGTGGTGTTGCCGCCCGCTGTCTCAAGCATTCCTCCGGCCAGCGCTGTGGCTCCTGTGGCTGCTCCAGCCGTCGCTCCTCCATCTTAACTCTTTATTTAACGTATAAGCCAGCAAAAATTATTTAAGTTTAAGTCGTACGCTCTCATTATGTCTTATGTGTACTCTCCTCCTCCTCCTCCTCATCTCTCTCTTTTTATTTTGCTCCACTCAAAGCCCAAAACAAAGTCTTTTACTGTAATCCCGCCCAGCTTCTCGTGTGCTGTATATGTCTTTTAGTTTCGTTTCGTATCAGTCGAGTCCCCTCTGCCTCTGCCTCTGCCTCCGCCCCTGCGGTGCACAATTATTTGAATCTAAGTTTCAAAATACAAACAATCCATTCAATAAAAATATATTTACAAATACAAATGCTCGACCCGTTTGTACAGACTTGTCTTTACTTTATTTCTTACTTCATTTACAATGAGAGTTTCCTTAAGGTGATAGCATAATCTATATGCTACGTAAAATGTAGCCAGAAATGTGGGTGGGTTCAGGTCGGATCACTGTATGCACTGGCGTTTGAGTACATTCGGGGATGCCAGCAGACCAAGATCATTGCTGGAATGGCCACGTTTCAGGGGCGTTATTATCAGTTGATCTAGCTCCACCAAAGTCGACTCATCCTCCGGGTCCGCCTTGGATTTGTTTACTTTGATCCACGTGCCGCTGCAATATTGAAGATTCTTCGGCTTGACTTGCGTGCAAACGGTAATATTTAATGAAACCACATTTTTTTTCGGCAATGTTTCCTGAAGCGCTGGGAGAGGCAAACCTTCCTTTGCACTGCGCAGACCCTGGGCAAAGTCTTCCATGCTCTTCACGTAGACCTTGTTGTAGAAGTCAATGATGTCCCCGGACTGGCCATCGCCAAGAGGAACCGCACGATAGACTTCCCTGCGGGCGTGGGGCTGCCAGCGATAGTGCTGGAGGATCTGACTAAAGTTGAGGCGCAGGCGCTTGAGGCGGGCATGCAAGTGGATGGCACATATCAGCAGGTGATCGAGATTCCGCTGCTTGAGGAGATCTCCGCCCTGTTGGATAAACGAGTGCTCGGCAATGAGCCATATTTTGGGAAAATGTTCCATCAAGACGAGGCTCTGGCAGAGGTTAACCAGGCGTTGGTTGGCCAGACAATAGAACTTGCACAGACAGATGACAAAGCCGGTCCTTGGTTTTTCCTCCGGTCCTGATCCCAAAGCATTCTCCTTTTCCCTGGCCTGAACCTCTTTACAGCTGGGCACACGCTGCGCTTTGCCTAATATTTTCCAAAATGACGAGTCTCCGCGGAACATCAGCGATCCGAGACACTCGTCCTCGACTGCCTGTAGGTGCTTGATCAGATCGCGGCCGATCAGACCTGTGCGGTGCCGCACCACCAGCTCCAGGATTTTCTGAAATTCGTACGCATCCAGCGAGTAACATTTCAAGATAAAGGGAAACTTTAGTTCCTCCACACGATCCTCCCGGATGCGCAGGGCCAGCTCCAGGCAGCAGGCGACCAGTGTGACACTCAGAGTTCTCTGTTTCAGCAGCTGGACCATCTTCAGATGGGGCTTTAACAACAGCTCTGAGCCGATGATCCTCTGAAGGAATTGGTAGTAGAGTCGGCAGGCCAGCGCAAAGCACTCACCGGCTGCATCTGTGCTCAAGTGATCTCGCGAGGACACCCCGAATGTACGGGCCATGTCAAGCACGAGATTCTCCACATTGCTGAGCACATCAGCGTCCTCTGGGTCCAAGGCTTCTGTGATCACCGAAGGCATCGCCTTGGGGAGCTTTTGAAGCTGCTTGTAGCGGTAAGGAACCCTAGGTTTATACCTCACGGGCGGCGTTTTTTTGCTGCAAGACAGAAACCGTTCATCGATCTCACTGATGTCGGCCACATGGTTCGTGTAGTTCCGGTTTAGAGTAGCCAAATTGACGTCCAAGAGGCCCTCCTTAATGATCTCCCGCATGAAGGTGTCGTTGCCCAGCAGATTCTGATCCGAGAAGAGCACCACCAGAGCCTTGTGGAAGAAGGCGTTCTTCATGACACGCACACCCTTCCGCGGCAGATCTGGGATCAGTGAGCAGATTTCCTCCAGTGCACTGTACCGGAGGAGCAGGCCATCGTCAAAGTCATCGCTGCCCCATTTTCTGGGCACACCTGGAAACCTCCTGTTAATCACCCAGGCATTACCCATCTCCAAGGCATTCACGTAGAGAAGCTCCAAAGTGCAGATGAGCACCTGACAGCCACTCACCAGATTCGAGGTGGCGAAGCCGGGCAGCTCGTTTCGGATGGTCAAAAACAGAAGCCAGCCAAACTCGTACAGTGATGTGTGGATGGAACGAGCCTCTACGTTCTCAGTGTCCTCCTCTGGCAGTACGAACAGGCGATCGAATACGCGCTGGTAGTGTTTCCTAATGATTAGGGTCATGCATAGCCGTCTATGCAGATCGTCGATCTCCTGCTGAAAGACCTTTTCGTTCTTGACCAGCACGTTCCATTGCTTCATTCTCTCCATAAACTGATTAATGTTCACCTTGAATGCCGCGAGTAATTTGGTCAGCGACAAGTTCCAGCAGCTGGTGCCTGCCTTTTCCGCTGCATTCGTTGGATAGTCGGTGATGAGTTTGGCATCGAGCATGTCCTTGATCTTCACCCGCTGCAGCTCACAATAGACGGCACAGCAGAGCCATTCTTGCACATCCCGCTTCTCGGTTAGCCCGCCATCGCTGGTCGATTGTTGAAAGGCGGCAAGTGCCTTCAACTTGATCGCCGGGTCCAGATCCAACATATCGCAAGTGGCCGTAAAATGTAAATTGTTCATCCCGGCCGCCCCGCCCTCCGCGCAGATATTCATTGTTCACTATTCGAAAAGATATGAGTGCTATTTTCTATTTATTTGCTGATCGACCCTCAAATTTACCCCAAGTTCTGTTTTGACTGTACAAAATGTGAATTTTTCCAAAGGCGCGAATGGTTAAAATTTCTGCCATTTGCGAGCAGGTTTGCTTCCGATATCTGCCCTGCCGCTAGGCTTGCATTCTTAGTGCTATCGATTGTGGATCGCGGGGCGATATTTCTCAAAGCGATATGTGGGGGTGCATGTGCACTGACATAAACAACAGAACAACAACAATGCTGCAATCCAATCGTGTGCTGCAGCGCGAACAAGTTGAGCTCCTTGCTATTGAAAAGAAGCTGCTTAAGGTGGTGCCTGTTATCCAGGAGGCCTTAAATTCGCTAAAGGTATGGCATCGCCCCTAAAACCATGACAAATCACTAACTTGATTCCCCTCTCAAAGGTGGAGGAACTGCATCTGAAATCCTTGGGACTGGAGCGTACCATCGAGTCACAGCGAGTTGTGCCTGCCCATCGCACACGTTTTGATATGAATGGACCTCCTGCTGCCATGCAACCGGATCAAATTAACCAGCAGAAAATCGATTTGGACCTCTTTATAAACAAGTTGGAAGGCGGTGAGGAATTGGATTCGGATTGAGATTCGATAGCTAAAATGTTTATTCGTGGTTCTTGTTTCCTGGCGATGAATCTGCCAGTTCACACAGACCATACGTGTACATATGTACTTCGGAACTTAAATAAACACATCTTTCGTGCACTTAAATACGTGTACAATTAAATAGGGGTAAAATTACAATTACCAAAGAACGAAAGAGTAACTAAACTACTAAAGCTATGCGCTAAAAACCGTTGTTGGCCTTCAATTATTCTGGGTCTTGGGTGCCACCGTCAGAAGATTCTCCTGAGCTGTCGACCCGTTTCTTTTTCTTGGAAACCTCATCATCGCTGCTGTCGCTGTCTGAGCTGGAGCTGGAGCTACTAGACGAGCCCGAGTCCTCGCCCGAAGAACTGCCGTCTTCATCCGAATCGGAGCTGGAATCGCTGGAGTCCGAGCCAGACGAGTCTGACCCTGAGCTGCTGCCAGAACTCCCAGAACTGGAGGAGGAGGAGCTGTTGCTATTCTTTCGCTTGCGTTTCTCCTTCTTACTTGAAGCTGCCACTGGCTGGACTGCTGCCGCCTCGGCAGCAGTTTTGTTGGCAATGGCATCTTCTTTATCTGCCAGATGCTTGCTAAGCTGCTTTGTGCGTGAGCTACGGTGCACATATTTGCGTTTCTCCTTGCACTCGTAGCTCCAGTGGCCCATTTGCAGACATTTCTGGCAGCGTACGCCATTCGGAAAGGCGGCGGCCAGTTTTGCCGACCTATGGAGGCGTGAAGGTTAGTTAGTTTACTTTTTCTCGGCGCCCGGCTACTTTTATTACCTCTGTTTTTGCGCTAGTTTGCGTGCTGCGAGTCCTACCAAAGTCATCCTGAAGAATTCTTTCAGTCGGTGCCTGGAGACAATTTTGACGGTGGTTGAACTAAGGCTTTGGGGTAAAATTTTCACGAAAAATGGATAGAAAAATGTTTTTATTTTTTTCCTTTTTGCGTCATACAAAACTATCGATGAGGAAGCATCGGCTGGAAGAAAAAATATCGCAAAAAGTACCATGTGCGACAACCCTGCGATCGATTCCTGTAGACCCACTAGCTAATATCTATTGTTTAATGTTGAATTTTTAGAAAAATGATATATCATTTATACTATAATTAAATGTGCAATAATGCACAACTCTTCCAAGGCTCCAACACAGAATAGTAAACCTCCACTAGCTAATTGCTCGCAACGGTATGAGTGCTTTTTGACCATATTTGGTAAACTTTGTTATTTAAACAATAACAAAACTCATTGCTGACTAAGCGGCGAAAGTGGATTGCAGCAAAGTCCATCGACAATCACCACACAATCACAGGTAACGTTGGAATAGTGTATCAGTCAGCGGAATAATTATTGTGAATTTAGAATAGCGTTCGAAATGGATACAACGACGGTGCCGAGGGCGTCTGCTCGTATGATGACACCGGAAGAGCTGGTGATGCAGTCGCTCACCAAACAAATCTTCAAATCGCGACTTTTTCGCGGCCACTACCTGGGACGCTATTTCGTGGAGCAGATCGGGGATTATAGAGACGTTATTGCCTTGCAACGCAGCGAACGGGAACTGGAGAAACTTCTGATCAGAGATGCAGGCCAACTGCAAATGTTTTACCAGCGCTGTGTGCCCAATATGTGGGTGGGCATATCATATGGTAGTCTGGGAAACTACAAGCACATACCACATCCTGCCCAACTAGAGACCTGCATTTGGGCAGAGCTGAACGACTTGGCCCTTGGTGAATATTGGTTTAGTATCAAAACGCTGCGGTTTCGGGATCAGGAAGTGCTGCTAAAGCTCAAGACTGTAAGAGCTGTTGAGCCAGAGCCAATGGCAACGCCGAGAAGATCCGTCTCGATAAACAGGACAACGGCAAGCAATACCATAACAGCAGCAGGCGAGAGTTCGACCACAGAGAGCCAGGTGACCGATCAACCCCCTCCACTTGGTTTGGCCGACTTCTTGGAAGTGCTGCGGCAGTGGGGTGAAGGCATCAAACAGACCACCTACGACTTTATGGCGAACGATGTAAACAAGCACAACATCATGGGCACAATACGCTTCCTGGGTCTGCTCCTATTCTCAATAGGAGGCGGAGCCATTGCTGCCTTGCGGTTCTTGGGAATCTTCGCCGTGAGATTCCTCTTTGAGCTAAGTCGGCTATCACACGCCCTCACGCCCATTCTGCTCCAAATCCTGCAATTTTTGAACAATATTGTGGGTGGCGTTTTTATATTGTTCACCATGATATGGAAGGATATCATAACCCGTGGTCAACCGCCAACCCCTAAGCAGCCGCTGGAAGGAAGTACACGCTTCAAAAGCATCACCTACGATCGTAGCGATAGACGCCGTTGGCGATGATCCTCCAGCAAAAGTGGAATGGCCTAGCATGTCTTGTATTTAATATAATATATAAGGTGAACGAGAATTAAATTGTAATTGTGTTACTAGCGTTAAGCAACCTGAAACCCCACTCAGATCGATCCGATTATGTAGAAATTTGTTTCCAGATTGTAAGCCAAAAATGCAATGCATATATTAAATTATTCGAAAATCTTTTGAACCCGTGTAGTGTTTAGTCTCGTCTATCGATGTATTAAATTGTAATCTTTTTGTAAATTAAATGCACGGAGAAAATGAAACACTGGGAATTTGTTTGTTAGTTTTAATAGTTATACACTTTCCCTTTATTACTTTAGTTGATTTTAATCTCATTAAATTGTTCTCATATATAGTTATTATGTATATACTCGTATGTGGTGTCGCCTGGAGCGCTATCTGTACGATCTTTACACAAAATGTTTTTTGTTTGCGGTGTGTGCCTAGTATTCAGGGAAAATCCATTCCATTTCTCTGGGTCTACATCGATTTGAGAATGATCTATGGCATTTCAGGGAGCGCTTCTCTGTTTCTCTGTTTGTCTGTTTGGGTGTCTAATTTAGCACCCATTAATGGATTTATGGGGGTCCCCCCACCTGGGTCCTCTAAATATCATTATCAATTATTAAACCACTAAATTATACATTCTGGTTTCGTAGGTGATATACTTTAATTAGTACATATACATATAATTTATTTTATTTCCTTTTTGAAATGCTATAATTATGGAATGCCGCTCAACAAACGTTTGCTCATACAACTTTATTTAATTTGTTTGCCTTTTCGGGGTTTTGTTTAATAATAGACAATAAAATATGTGTGTGAGAGAAGGGGTGTCCTGATGCTTGGGGGATTTGACATAGTAGTGGTATGTATCTTTTGGGATTCGGTTAGGGTTTGGATTGGGTTCTGGGGGTTCTGGGCTGTTCTGCCTTGTAAAATACATATGTATGTTGTCAACATCATTACATTATTTGTCTTTAATTGTTAATATTATATTATTTAGTTATTAGTTTAGTTTATGCACTAATTCGCCTGTCATTGTGTCGCCAACATGTTTAAAAACTCACAAAGTAAATGTAAAATTTAAAATATGTTTTTCGTTTTTAATTTTAATTTTTTTTAATAATCCATGTGGTGTCTTGTAAATACTTTCATTTTCATTTGCATTTGCGTTTTAAAAGTAAATGTACAATATACAGTTTAATGCCATAACTTTTAAGTACTCTGTACTCCGTACTCTTCTGTTCTCTGCTCGTCCCGTTTTTATTTGTTAAGATATATTTTTGCCATTCGCTAACAAATAATTACACATTTATAGCATTTTCATTTAACGTTTCATTCTGCAGAAAATAATGTTGTTTTTTTTTTGTTTGGTTTGGTTTGGTTTTTTGTTAACAATTAGTTAGACATTTAGAGCAAAAACATTGATAATATAGAATTTGTCTTGTTTTTTAGTTTATGCATAAAAATTTGTCTAGTGAAATATATATAAATATATATGTTGTTTCAAGGGTTTTGAACTGCTTATTGTTATAATTGCGTTTACTTTTCATTTGTTTTATTTGTAATTTGTTAATTGCGTTTCGTTTTTAGTTTTTAGTCCAATTCAGAATTAATTATTGTTTTGGCATTTCATTTTGTTTTTATAGTTTCGTTTCAAGGAAGTATCGTTAGTGTCTCGTTAGTGGAACAGCAAAAGGTGAGATATTTGTGGGGATTTTCAAATGAGAGAACTTGTTGGCGCGCCTTAAATTGAGCTAAAACAATAAATATTTCATTTGCATTTGCATTTGCAATTGGATTTTCATTTTCATATCATTCGTTATTTAGTTAAGCATCAATCAATGAGGTTTTTATCTAGTTTCCGTTTAGTTATAAACTATTTGAGGGGGAAATAATATAATACTCTCGAATGTTCTCATTTCCTGCTCTCAACTAAGGGAATGCTATGTTTTTGTCTTTATTTTATTCAAGAAAAAGTACAACTCAAATTTCTCAACGTTTTATTTTGTGTGTCTCTCGTATCTTTACATATTTATATAGAGTATACATATATATATCTCATATATCTATATCTTTATTTCATTATAATAATTTTTTACACATTAAATTCAAATGCATTAATTTATCTTCTGTATATATATATATATTTATATATAATTTATTTATAAATATAAATAACAAAATGTTTCCCTTTGAAGCTTTGTTTTTATCTTTATCTTTCGTTTTCGTATTCTTTTACTGTTTTTTGTTTCTATATTCAAATACGATTCCTGCGTCTATAGCTTTAACCAGTTTTCTCGAGTGTTTTCTATATAGTATGTATGTACTTATTGATAGGGTTACTGGGTTACTGAATGCCATCGGCTCTCTCTCGACTTTTTCGTGTGCTGAACAATTGGCAAGTAATACCGACGACTCTTTCCCGTACTTCGCTCGTCCTCGAGCTCAACCAAAGAAAAGAGAATATAGTAAAGAGATATACATACATATACCTATATATATATGGGTATTGTATATATATATATATTTTGGTGTACCGGAATCGAATCGGTTTTGGATTTTTGCTTTTTGTAGCGGCTAAAACGTTAAGGTTTAATAAAATCGCTTTTCTTTTGTTTTTAGTGTCTTATATCATGTCTGAACGTGAACTGAATAAAACGTACATATCTGCTTGGGGAGTGAGGGGGGGCCAATAATCTGAACCAACTTTTCCAATAGGCCACCAGGAGGCAAGCCTCAGACGGGCACTAGAAGAGTGCTACTGGGCGAGCCTCGTCTCATAGATAGCCCAACATCGTGCGCTTTAGGCTTTTCAAAGTTCTGTGTGATGGTTGGTCAGTAGGTATTGGTTTTTATATTTCAATATTTTTCAGGGGGTTTAACAATCAAATGGGTATTTCAATCAAAGAGTAAACAAGGGGTAGAAAGGAATGGAAAAGAAAGATAAGTTAAAGATAGTTATAAACTTAGAGCCAACTTAGAAGAAACTACGATATAAGCTCTTAATTACTTTAAATCATCGGTATCCTCAATTAAATCGGCGTACTCCTCCCAGTCGTTGTTGGTCGAGCGCGTGCGCAAGTTTGATATTGTCGGTTCTTCCTCGTCCTCCTCATCGCCGGCATTGCCCTGCTGTTTCCTCGGTTTTCTGCCTCCACCTCCGCCAGTGCCGCCTTCGTCCACCACCTCGTAGTCTTTGAGTTCAGCTTCCAGATCCTTTTCCCATTGTTCTTCTAACAAATAACGAATAAGGATCAATCATTAGAATGTGTGTGGCTTAGAGGGGTTTGAGTATTGTATATAGGGTTACAAATATGGGGTAAACATATAGTATATAGGGTATAGCATACATGGTTTACATATAGAATATATTGTATTTAGTTTAGTATCAAAAGTGTCTAGGCAAGCAGTTGAATTGTGGTTTTTAGTGACCGTCCCAAGCAAGTACATGGTTTAGCTGATACTCAAGATCAAGTTCATTTCATCGGTTGGGGGTTTACCTTCTAATCGGCGAGCCTATACCTAAGACATAGATTTTCACAGACTGTAATACGTTTGGGTATGCGCACCGTGACTGAATAATAGCCGTCTACAAATAGTGGGAAATTTATTTATATTTTCACTTAGTCAATCGTCAGAATCGAGGTCCAATTAATGTTGCAATTAGGCTGTACACAATATGTATGTATATACGAATATCTAGCAGTAATTAACGAATAGCGTGCGCCCAATCATTCGTGGGGGTAGGATTCCACTTCCACTTCAACTTCCACCCCATCCATGACTTGCTTGTTGTCCCCAAACACCAGTTGTTGTTTCGAGTTTCACACTCCATCAATTAACAGAAATAATTACCATAATAATTATACATTGGTGTGTATTTACAGCATTTACGCATAAAAAGCAAGCAAACTGAACATTTTAAAACTATTTACAGATAATAATTACACAGTTAAAGTAACATAAAGCGGGGCCAAATATGAACGATTTTCTAAAAGCTGGCAACAAATATTTATAGTTTAATCAACTGAAAATGCCATATGTAAAGATAGAGAGAGAGAAAGATAGGGGTTTTGGGGTAAAGAAAGAGACACGACACTTAGAATTGTGTAACTTCCCCTGGTTTTCGTTATCGGGTTTCGGGAAGAAAGCTTTAATTTTTAATTTTATTCTCATTGATTTTGTGTGATGAGTTGGTCTTCAAAAAAATGTACACTTGAACATCAAATTGGTTAGAAAGTCATAAAGTGTAATCTCAATTATCTCTAATCGATTTTTGTTTGGTGCAGTAAAAAAAAGCATTCAAATTTCCGTTATTAGAAGCGATACGTTTTTTGGAAGAGGTTTCTTTCCTCAATCCCTCCCGAAAGCACATACATCAATATAGATCAAGAAGGTTTGAAGATATACATTCCCTTGCAGATTGATCGTTTCAATCATAAAGTAATCCGAATTGTATATAAATTTACTTTGCTTTGAAGTAGAATTCCTTCTTTGGAAAAAATACAAAATGTACGAATATACATATCCCCTGAACGGTTCTGTATTTGACTATATGTCTAGTGAGCGGATATAAAGTATATCTATTTTATTTGGCTGATCATTAAAAGGCGGACAGACACTCCATGGTTACATCGATTATTTAGTATCGTTAAAATCTTTTTTAAAAATCAAAAAACGCAAACATAAATTAAGCTTTTACTAATTAAACACACAACAACGACATATAGTAGACACACAGACGAGGGCGTATTGGGAAATGATTATTGAAAATTGCAACTATTTTTGGGATATCTACAATATATACATCTAGCATTGCCGAACAGATAAGTAGTAATATTTTATGCAATTGAAAAACCAACAATGGAACAGAAAAAATTGTCACAACTAAAGTTTTGTTGCAATTTTATGTGTAGGTTTTTTTTTGGGTGTTTTGTTTTTTGGATTTTTTGTTTAACCAACAATTTCTAACTTACCACACAAAATTTTGTATCGGTTTCTTTTCTTTTCGTTTTTTTTTTTTTTGGTTTTCGTTTTTTAAGTAACATTTTTGAGGTTTCTTTCTTCGGTTTATATATGTATAAATAATGCCTTCTTTTTTGTTTGGGTTTAAATTAAATTGTCTTTTTGTTGTCAAGTGAATATCTTTATATGTATGTATATAATTTTGTTTGTTTTGTAGTAGTTTCTTTCGTTTTCGTTTTCGGGTTTCTTTTTTTGTTCGCTAAACAATTTTTTTCGCTTTTTCTTTTGGGCAATTTTCGCAGTATTCTTTTTGTTTTCGATTTGTCTTGTATAATTTTGTTGCTGTTTATTTTGTTAGTTGTGTTTTTGTTTCTTGCATTTTTTGAATTTAGATTTAGGTTTTTTTTTGTTTTTGGTTTTTGTTTTTAATCCATTCAATCTTCTGCAAGATGATTCGTAAATAAATTAAGAAATACATGAAGAAAAGTAAATGTTTTGTTAAAATTGTTTCGCATACAGATTCATCAGATGTTTTTTGGTATTAAATTACGAGTATTTTTTTTGAAAATTTTGTGTATTTGTTGGGAGGAAAGGTTGTCTTTTGTGTCGCGGCTAGTAGTTTTTGGGGGGATATTTTTCCAGTTTTTAAAAATGTGGAGAAATGTGTGAAAAAAGTAAGGGCAAAAAAGAAACATTGGGGTTCGAGGAAAAGAACAGAAACTTGATCTAGCGAATTATCATAAATGAAATTGAATTGCAAATTGAATAAAAAGGAGCACGAAATTGCAAAGAGAGATAGATAGAGAGAGAGATAGAGAGTATCAATAGGATATATGTGGTATATAAGAATTTCTTGATCGGTTTGGTCATACTCAACTTGTTCGAAATTTGTTTTGTGGCTTTAGACTGTTTCTTAGACTGTTTTCTCGACTATCATTATCATCTCGATATCAAATCATATCTCATATCATTTGTAATAAATGGCAAACGAAAGTTGGTTTTTATCCAGGGTATACGTTTTCTTTATATATTGTATAGTACGGTACGGTGTACGTGTGTGTATTGAATTTATATAATACTTTTGTTTCTGTTATCCTTTAGTGGCTTTAATTCTATATTTGTTTATGGGAATTGGTTTATTTGGTTTAGTGTTACATTCAATTGATAGATTGTTTAGCTTTTCGTTTTTAGTAATTAAATGCCAGAGCTTTTATGATAAGTAACAAACGATTTTCACACAAAATGTAATTTACACAAAAGAAAGAAACAGAGCAGAGGAGAAAAAAGAGAATTGTTTGGTTTTTACACTTGTTTTGTACACACATTTTCTGTTTGTTTTATGTTTTTTCTTCATTTGTTCAGCATATTTTTTTTTTGTTTTGGCTTGGGTATTGGTTTTGTTTTGCAAAACAGAATATGAAATGAATTTCGACAAGAGACATTTTTGTGTGTGTGTGTGTGTGTGTGTGGAAAATGGGCATGAAGGAAGTCTTGCCACTAAATTCTAGATGAAGAGTAGACGGCTGAAGCCTAGCTGAATCGTTGGCCAAGCTTACGAGTATCTACAAATAGTAATTCCTGGTCTACAAATGTGTTCTTTGGTGTATGAATGAATGTTCTTTGTGTTGTCCAGGAAACCAATGAAATTTGTTCGAGCAATTTCCATGGGGGCAAATGCATGTACAATAAATGTTAGTCTTCAAACCAAATTAATTAAACAGAACGGAAAACAATAATAATAATAATTATAAATAGGAGAAAATAAAAAACTTAAGAAATCTTACCATCGTTTGGGGCTAGGGCTTGCTGGGTCATGCTATCGATGCCCAATTTTCGCATACCATCTTGGATTTCAGCCAAATCTGAATCGGTTGTGGTCTGAAAGTCGTCGGAAACGAATTCCGATTCAGAGATTTTCTGTTTCATGCCCGTGCCGGCCTTGCTTTGGTCTGCCTCTTTGGCTTCGGGCTCTATCACGGCCTTGGGCTGTTCGGCAATGGCTTTGGTGCTCAAAGGAGCCTCTCCCTTCACGGGGCTGGCGACAGTCTTGGTTGTGTTTTCAGTTTTCAGGGCCACTTCTTTGGCTGATCGTTTGACAGAGGTTGAGTGGAACAATTTCGTTTGATTTTCGTGTAATTGTAATTTCGTGTTTGAAAATCATAAAATACAAATTAAATTAAAAGGAAATATAATTAAATGATAAGGAAGTCGAGTTGAGGTGAGGCGCTGGGCGGCTGAGATTCGAGAGGATCGCGATTGACAGGATGAGCGTTTTGGGGAAAAGTGCTAGATAGAACCGAAGAAGCTCGAATCGCTGACGACACAAGCCAAGTGCAGGTGGTGGAAGGTCGAATACAAATCAAAGAGGATCGATCGTTAAAGTTCAACTAAAAAATTTGAGCATACTCTGGAGGCGGTGTATTACAGACGCTAGCCAAGAAGTTACGATAGTAGTTTTTGGGAGACTCGAAGAGATAGTAAGAGAGAGATACAGAGAGATTTATAGAGAACGGAAAACTTTTTGGTTAGCTAGCGTGTGTGAAAAAGGACTAAGAGACAAATCATAAACGAAACAGGCGCGTGTGGCTAAGGTGAACCAAACAAATAACTGAAAGACTTAGACTTAGATAGAAGATAGAGAGGTAGGTGGATAGATAGTTACAGATACAGATACAGATACAAGATAGATAGATAGATAGAGGTAGAGGAGAGAGCGCGCGAGTAACGAGTAACGAGTGTGTGTTTTGTGAGCGAGAGATTCATAGAGAGAGAGCGAGAGGTGGATAGAGAGTCTGTTGTATCCTGTTTTGATCCTATACATATATCATTGTTCGATATCTCCACCCGCAGAAGGAAGGAACAAGGAGCTGGAGCTGACTTACCATCTTCACCGCTGGAGGCCTGACCCACACCATCGGCGCCCAGAGTTCCCAGCTCGGCGGCCTGGATGATCAGTGAGACGCGGTAGAAATAATTCCGCCAGAAGTTCTCCTCAGTGATGCTATTCCAAAGTAAAAAACAAGGACAGAATTAGTGGGGAATTTCTGTGGTTAAAGAGTCTACTGCTCACATCTTGGGCACCAACTCGAATCGCATCGTTTCGAGCGCCTTGTCCTCGGCCATAATGGCTATGGCCGTGGGATAGGCGGTGTCATAGCTGAACTCAAAGTCCACGCCAGCGGGCGGGGCGCGTACAAAGTTGCGACGATCCTGGGCCAGACCCAATATCTCCTCCTTGATCTTGGCCTCGTTGGCATGTCCAATCCAGGGGGCAGCACCATTGCCAGCACCGCCCTGGCCCTTGATGAAGGCCTCCTGCTCTTTGTTGAATGAATCGAGAATAGTCTGGGAGTGATGGAGATTCGTAATTAGAAATTTAGATTGCAAGGATTATCACAATTATACTCACATTATCCTTGACTGTTTCCTTGATTTTGCTGCCGGCCTTGCTGATGGCCGATGACAAGAAGGAGCCAAAGTGTTTGGCCTGTTGTGTTACTTTTGTGGTAACTATTGGAACGAGATTCGAAAGTGATTCAAAGCAGATCGAAGGTTAGCTAATGGTTCATCTGATATGAATTAGTATCTTCAACTAAATGGGGTTGCAACTAACTAAACTAAACTACAAAGTAAACGTTTCGTTCGAGGGTTTTGTACTTCGGTTCGAACAGAAGAACAGATTGAGGGATTGAGGGGGTTCAAAGTTGAGCTAGGGATTATTTTATGCTACAAATAACTCTTGAATTAGTAACCTGTCACCGCTTTTCTATCATTAACTTTTTGAATTGGCAATTTCGGCACTCGACTTTCGCTTTCGATTATATCTTTCTCATTTCATTCGACATTGATTCGACATTTAGTAGAATTGTTGTTGTTTTTTTGTTACCAATCAAAGTGTGACACGTACTTTTGACTTCATCGCCCTTACCCTGTCCAATTTGACCCTCATCGCCAGTGGGCGTTCCGCCGCCCGATGCTGGATGCGAGTCGGCGCCCTCTGTGGCACTGTAATTATACAATTTTTCGTGCGTTTGGGGGGAAGAAAAAGAGGGCGAAAATTTATATAAGTTGCGTTTTTCAATACATAAGCGAAAGTCATGGTTGTGGCGTCATATACTATATTTTATAGGAATAATTCTAGATGTACGCATTTCATGCAGCAGGCAGGCAGCAAACCAACCAACTACAAAACTAATACTAGAAATTCGCGATAAAAGTTAAATGCTATAATCTTAGTAAATAGTAAGAAAACTATTATTTGAAAAAGAAGGCAAGGAGAAGAAAAACATGCTTTTAGGAAAAATATTCATCTTGGGTTTGGGATTCTGTCTCTCTGGTCATGACTTCTATTTCTATCGGAACTATGTATATTTATTTCTGATTTGTTTTCTTGCTCAATAGATTTTTGATATTAGTTCAGGGTTTATTTATGAATGAGATCTTTAATTGGATTAAAATTAGCACCAAGACTTTGCTAGTTCAGGAATGCAGAAGTTTTATTTTCAATCATAAAATCATGAAAGTCTTCCGAGGTCCTTGAGTTCTAAAACTGGTAGCACTGAAGCACTCTATACGATGCTAAACTTCTGAAGTACTTCTAGCTTACTGTCTAAGAATCCCAATGGATTAGGTGTAGGATCCGAATCAGGTAGCAACGAAAATCATCCCTAAGAAAGTCAATAAATTGAACCTGAAGAATCTCATATTATAATGTTGTACAGGAATCTTTGGAGTCTACTCAAAGGGTTCTGCATTTTGCATTTGACTGATATTATATTAAAAAAAAAAATGTCCAACATCTATAACGTTTATGTGTATTTACACGTCTTCATTATGCCTTTTTTACACACAGATATTTTCATATTTTATCATATTTTATGTATTTACTTGATATTTTTGATTTGTGAATGCAAAATGTCTTGAAGGATGTCCAAATGAATGATGCAATGGGGGAAACAGAAGAGAAACAAAAGTGGAACATAAATTTATGAAAATAAAACATAGAAAGAGAGTTTTAGAGCCCATGACGGAGCGCACTAAAAGAAGGCATGCAGCGACTAACTAGCATCATCATTTTCCATTTTAGAGCGACATTCAAGTGCAGAGCGAGCACAGAAACAGAGAGAGAGAGAGAGAGAGAGAGAGAAGGGAGAGGAGAAGGACATAGAGGAGGAGAGTGGCCCAAAGAGTTGGCCCAAAAGGATAGACTCTAGCGGCTACACAGAAACAAGTCCGAAGAGAACAGAGGTGCAAATGATAAAAGGGGTACAGGTACGGGTACATAAAAATGATACACAGAGGATAAAGGATACGGATGAGAGAGAGAGAGAGAGCTAAACAACAACACAGCGAAATGAGAGCACTCAAGCACTCAATATAGGAGGCACAATGATAATGATACGGATTATGATCGGAATAATGACAATGATAAACAACTACCAACAACAATTAGGCTTGAGCTTGAGGGTTTTTTTTTGTTCTTATCTACTGTACGGTACTGATGGGTAGCCATAGGACATTTGTTCCAGATATATATTGTGGATTTCGGTTTCGGTTTGGTTTTGATTTGGTTCTCCTTGACCTGGTTTTGATGGGCCGCTCAATAATGATGGAATCTGATACTTTGGGCAATTATCAAAAGTCGACAAATGATAGTTAAATATTATCCTTTTATCCTTTCTTCTTTGGACGCGTCACACACACACACACACACACACACCCAGACGCACAAAAAAATCAAACGAAATGAAATGTTTTTAAATCATACGAGAAAAATAGAGATGGGACTGGCTTTATGTATGTTGTATGGGTTAATGTGTTGTGTACTACAGATATGTATAGTATACCTAGCCATATGAGAATTGTACTTGATCATGATCTGAATGAAATGATTGAATGCTGGCTTGAAGCTATTTTATTTTCACAAAATTGTGTTCGTTTACGAGTTGGTTGTAGAACTTACCTTTAAATGGGGATTGGTTTGAAATGGGTCAAGTATCTGATTATGTATTATATATTATCATACCAAAGAACTATAACAGGTACTTTTAATCTTTATAGGTTCTGGAGCATCATAAATAACCGCTCTATTATCTATAGGCATAAGTTCAGAGGCATCTTGAAGAGTCGAGAGGATTGTATTCCAACTTTTTAAAGGTATCTTTTCTGATATATTTAGGATATATTATAGGTTTCTATTACAATTACTTGGAAATTCTTTATGAATTGGTAATAAAATCTTTGGAAATAAGATCTTAAGATTCTGAGATCATAACCAGATACTTGTACCCCTATTTTGCCAACATTTGTGTAAAAGAACATAATTTTGTTGAATGTCTTAAGCCAATTTGTAGGTCTTTTAATGGTTTTCAATTTTCAATTGGGCTTTCCACTTGTTATTATACATACTAAAACGTTTAAAACAGTTTCATTTAGTAGTGTGTGGTATTGTATAGGAGATGGGGATAGATACGAGTAAGGGTTTTATAGAGACACAGAGAGAGAGAGTGAGAGAGAGATAGAGAGAGGGAGTAGTATTTCGATTTGTACAGAAAGTTATTTAAAGGTGAAAAAGTGTTACTTTGAATCAGCAGAAGAAGAGAAATCGTGTGGCTTTAACTAAATATGCAATTATAATTGTAAATATATTTTGGTTAAGAGTGAAAAATGCGCAACAATAGTATCTGCAAACTAAATGTTCGAGAGAGCAGGTACATATATTCTCATTGGATATGGTTATAGGCAAAGAGTAGTAAATAGTTAGTTAGTATATAGTTTAAGAGTGGTTTTTGGTTAGTATTCAAGTAAACTGTGTGGCAGGAGGCATGGCATCTCAACGGTTGGTTAGAGGCAAACTATTGTAATGGTTGAGGCAAAACCAAAGAAAACTTCCAGCTTCTGCTGTGGGTCTTCTCATATTCATTTTTGGGGTAGGGGGAAGGAGGAGGAAGAGGAGGAGGAGGAGGGGGAAAAACTTTCAGTCAAAGACTTCAAACAAAAGGCAAAAGGGAAAAACTTTAACAAAAGGCTAAAAAACTTGTGGTGGCTGGGGGAAGGCTTAACCGGAGGTTAACCAAGGTACGGACCAAGGAACTAAAATACAAACGCGACTCTCATTTTCATTATATTTTTGGTATTTTGTATTATTTTTTTTTTTGTTCTTAGTTTGGTTTCTGCGGCTCTGCTGAGTATATAATTCCGTCATTGTTAAGCTGGCACCCATACCTAATATACCTCGACTTGTCGTCATCCTCGGCACCACTCACGGCTCCGGATCCGGCTGCGGCGCCGCCACCACCCTCCACGGCACCCTCAGCGCCCTCGGCCCCGTCGGCACCGCCGGTCTTTCGTAGTCCCGGGATCGATGGTATCGACGGCATCGCTGGCATGGCTGGCATCGACGGCATCGATGGCATCGCCGGCATGGCTGGCATCGATGGTATCGAGGCGTTGCCCAGCCAACCCTTGGCGCTTCCCAGCCATCCGCTGTAGAGATAGGGAGAGAGAGAGAGACAAAAGAGAAGAGAGCATTAGTGGGAGGTCCTTGATTGAGTGACTGACTGACAAAATGACAATCAATCTTTGCCCTAATTTGACAATATTCAATGCATGAGTGTGTGCATGTGGCTGTGGGTGGCTGTTGCTGAGGGCCTGATAAAAATCTATAATGTATTATGTCAAACAATAAGCAGACGCCTCAACATGTCAGCCACAACCACACACCCACACCCTCACCCACACACTCACACGTTAAAAATATACTCGAACTTATATAAGAAGATAATAAAATATGCACAGGGTAACATCGGAAGGGATTTTATTCTTAATAAATGGTATGCTCTTCTGAGGAATGCCATCATCTATGGGTATATTTTCTTATAAACTCTCTAAAAGCTTCTATGTTTTCTCCTCAACTGGAGACACCCTGTATTACAGGCTACCCTGTATTCCATAAATATAGGCAACGAGTGATTCTCGTTCCATTTCGAACCCGTTTTCGCAGAAAACACCCTGTACTGCACATGAGAGTCCCCCCGTCAGAGCTCAAGCCCGATTTATTGAGTAATTTTTGTCACACTGTCATAAATATAAATCCCACTGACAGGCACATAGGATACGTGACACACTCGCCTATGCTCGAGTTTCTGCTCCAATTCCTGCTTGAGATCTTTCGAATATATTACGAGTATATATACTTGAAAGTATACTTACATCGAACACTTCATTCACAAGTCTTGAATCGTTGGGGAACGTTCGTAATTATTAGAAATATTTCAATTCCAAACTTAAGCGAAACGATGCCAGCAGACAAAAGGAGGACCTGTGCAGGATGAGCTACCAGGTGCAGATTCCTCGTAAGCATTCCCTCTGCCCCCCCTGTGCCGTACTCCCTTTGAATATTGTTTTGTGAGTACACAGATCTATTGAAAATACAACGGCAGATCCTCCAACGTTCATCTCTCATCTAATCCCCAGCGTAAGCACCGCAAAGGCATAAAAGTTGTCTTCCTAGAGGAAAAAAAACAAAAAACAAGCAGCTTGCCAAAGGTGGTCCTCTCTATCATATACAATTCTGTTGTCTCGTCAAAATCAGTTACTTTTGTTTATGTGTTTGGTTTTTGTAGTTTAAAATTCTTTGATTTTAAAGTAAGTAGTTAGCAGAATAAAGGATAAATAAATATTTACTTGGTCAAGAAACTACGGCCTTTATAGATTCAAGTAAATGATAAAAATTTGAATGAATCGGGACCAGAGTCTGTGAAATCCAGTGGGTCTATTTATGCCGTACAATAGTCCCGAAAGAAGGTCCTCGGGCTTTATTACTCTACTTCAAAAATGAAGTGTGAAATGTTCCGAAATTCATTATGCATATGGTAGTTTGAATAGCACTGCATAAAATCAGCAAAAGGCGGCTTATCTTTTGCCTTACTGTACGAGCCAGTACTCGCATTGAGACGCATTTGCTGATAAAGCCCCTTAAGTCGTGGGGCACACACATACAAGCCAATCGATGGGGGGGATTCTATTTATTTTTTCTCTTTGGTCGTGTGCTCGGTTATTCCATGCACATAGTGCAATACTGAATGCTCTGTGGTCCCTGTGGTGGCATCTAGCAAAAAAGGAGGAAGAGAAAGGACACGCCGCCACCATCGCACTCCATGTATTGGTTGGGCATGGGGCAGGAGATGATGATGATGCACAACACGCATACAGAAAAAGGAAATGAAATAAAATTCACACAATGACAAGCAAAGGACTTCGTCCTCTTATGGCTCTTTGTGATGGCACTCCGGCCGTAATGCCGCTTCATCGATACGAATATCTGTGTGTATCTATAGTATATGCATTATGCTTCATTATATGACAAGGCAAGGCCACAGGAGTCCAGGCACTCTCCGTGCGGGGCACATGCCGCGTGACAAGTGCTCACTCATGCGTCAAGGAGCGGAACGAAAAAATGGCTGCGCAAATCGAATTAAATTGTAGCAAAAAAAAAAAAGAAACCATTAAATTTCCGAGGACTGCACTTAATTGTGGTGGAAAATCAAATTGAAGCGAATTGGGGTCAAGAGATTAAAGCAGCAAACAGTATGTCTGGCCATATCAAGCATACGCCATGTGGGCACACGCTCCAATTAGGAAGCCAACGCGATGCACAATGAGAGGAGGACGTTGCCATGTATATACACTGCATGGAAAATGGACAAGCATGGAGAATGGAGTTTCTGCATTTTTAAAGTCTTAAAGGTCCTCCGAGTGCCAAGGAGAGAGAATCAGATATTTAAGAGTTTTTCTCAGTGCATATCGTTTGTCAATTGACTATCGCTAGACATGGAGCTTATCATTAGCATTAGCTAGTCGCCAATTGGCCTGCCTCCAAGCTCCAAGCTAGTCGCTTCCCCTTCCTGCCCTTTTAGTGATTTATGCCTTCGTCTCGGACTGTTGGGGAGCCAAGGAGCGCAGGCTTTTACGCAATTTTGTTTGGCCTGTCAGGCGGCAACAGTTTTCCCGGTTTTTCCGGTTTTATTTATGGGTCCATGGATACCCATTTGGGGCCGTGCATAACTTAGTGGCAGAGCAGCCCGATAAGTGGTTCCATTGATGGGATGAGGGGCTGGTAGTCTGCTTCTTAAAGACCGACCTCTCTGGAATTATACGAATTACTTTTCCTTCTTTCGTATGTCTATAACTTTCCCAATGAAAATCATGAATTTCCATCCAAGTTCATAATTTTCCACGCATGTTTTCTCTGAAAAAATTGACTTTTCTGCTTTCATGTTCGGGTTTTTTCCTTCTCTCTTGTGATTTTTTGTTTGTGCCAGAGAGTGAAAAGTTTTAATTATAAAAGTTTGGAGGCAAATGCTGCGGCAAACGCAACTCGTAGAGAACAAGAAATACGACAGCCCGCAATGCCAGACCAATACCCGGAGGTCGGAGGTCGAGACCAAGAAAATGTGTAAAAACAAATTGAGTTTTTCCCCTGCAGAGAGTGGCCTCAATCCTCCAGACATCTCCATCATAAATCCAAAGGGTTTCTTTTACACCAGCAAAAACAAGAAAAATATTAATTATTGCTGCATTTCTTTATTCTGATTGGCTTTTTCCTATCCATTGAAGTACCCAAATTATGAATGCAAATGCAAATGATAATTGCCATGTGATGCAGAGGCTTCCCCAGTAAAAAGGGCAGGCGTTTTGGGGGATTAGCTTTAAGGTCTTTATGTATTATGGAAACTATGTGTATATGCAGTTTTATTAGATCGATATCCAAGGCTAGCTGCTGTCTGTCACCTAGCTGTGGTGTGAACAGAGACAAACACTCAGGACTTTGCCATTTAATAGACACAAGCCAGCTTTTATAGCTCCATGGGAGGGAGCTTGGGGAGTTTAATAGCTGCCAGGTTTAAAGACAGCTTTAAAAGTGTTCCGCCAGAGAGTTTTCCCCATTGGATGACGCGAAGAAAGCCTTAACTGCCGCATGCATGCCGTGAATGTTGAAATTTACTCTAAATTTTAACTGCTAGTTATATTTGAGCCTGTTAAATTTAACTGGCAGATAAGCCTCAGTGCCAGGACATGCTCTTTTAACTGCTGGTTAACTTCTGACAGACATTTGAGTAAATAAAACTTTGTGATCCGCTTTCCAGCCAACGAAAGAAGCTGCTTGTACTACCATTTCCCTTTTTCCATTTCGTGGCTTTTTCTTAGAATTTCTTTCTTTTATTTCCAGCTGCATTTTCTTAGAATTGCTTTCTTTTTCGCAGTGAAATTTCAACCGTTATTGAATCTATTTACCGTGGGACTTTACATCTTTTGTCGCTATTCTTTTGTCAGGCAAAACATTGTAGTGGGGAGGAGGGAAACGTGGTATGACACCCTTCACATAAAAAGGGACGAAAAGTGAATGACAAAACAACATGCCACACACACACACACACATAGCACTTATGTAAATTGCAGCCTGTGCAGGAAGCAAATGCTTCGGAGGTCTAGAGTTTTGTGGCAGGAGGGGAGGCGGCACGACGACAACTGAAATTGCAACTGCAACTGCAACTGCCAATGGGGAATGGAGAATGGCAAAATGTTGCAAGGCTGGCAGTAAAAGTAGCACTACAGACAGGGTATGGGTTGGGGTGGGGGTTCGGTTGCAAGTGACAAAGCTTGACACACCCACACCGCCTCTGTTTTTTGGGGGGGCGGGGAGGAGGGGATGCTCTGATGCGAAAATTGCATTGTCAGCTTAGAGAATGGCGTCAACTGTTGCTGGTTGCTGTTACTCCTTTTCCTCTCTCTCTATCTCTTTGTTTTTGTTGGGCTTCAATGGAGTGTGAGTTTTTGTCCATTTAAATAGTGAAAGAATTTAATTGGAAGGTACTTTCGTGCCCCTCCCTTTAATTGGATTGAGATTCGGGAGCCCTCTGAGAAGGCCTGCTGTGATTTCTCCCATTTCAAAGGGGGCTCAATCGAAACGTGACACGCCATATCCCTTCCCATGCCGATGCCCATGCCCATGCCCTTGCCCATGCCCTTGCCTCATGTTGAAGGGCCAATAACTAAGCCGCATGGCAACAGCGTTAGCAGTGCGTTCCGTTGTCAGGTTGATCCCCGTCTGCGTAAGACCTACACAATGGCCCTGTGTTTAAAGATAATGCTTATAGGAAATTTATTACATTTGCTTTTGTGACGTGCGACGTGCGACGAGGCGGGGAAAATAAAATGAAATAAAGCTAAATGCGTGTATAAGGCGCAAAATAAATGATACCCTGGCGATGGCCAGAGAGAAAGAGAGAAAGGACACCTGCTGAGCTTCCGTTTTCGCTAACAGAGAATTTCCACCATCATCATTTTCATCTGCAGAGCAGAGCCCTAATGGCAGGCCCTCAACGAGGGCAGATACATGAGTACAAAGGAAGCTACAGCCTTCTGAAAGTGATACTTTCGCCAAAACTCTTCAAACAACCCACTCCCTGCCAGAGGGGCCTCGGCGCAACAGCCAAGGCGCCAAGAAAAATCCACATTTGACAAATTACCGGCAAGCAGGTAAACAGCAAAAGCAAAGCAGAGACAGGCCCATAGTCTCTGCTCCAAATCCTGCCAGAGATGCCTTTCGAATATACTTCAGAGTGTGCTCACATCGAACACTTCTCATTCAGTCTAGAGCCTAGGATCGTTGGGATACGAACGCAAAATAAAGCAAACAAAATTTTGTATAATCGTAACTTTCTGTTCAAAAATATTTTCGTTCAAAATTAAAAAGAAAGATGCCATCAGAAAGGGATCGATGTGCCGTCTGCCTGTGCAGGATGCGCTGCCGGGTGCAGACGCCGTGTAAGCATTCCTTCTGCCGGCGCTGCCTGCACCGCTGCTACTACGAGTGCGCCAACAAAAACTGCCCCCTGTGCCGGGCTCCCTTCGATTATTATTTGGTCAGTACACAGATCTGCACATATGGTAGTACTACAGGTCCTTTAACGCTCATCTTCCACCGCATCCCCAGCGCAAGAACCGCAGATACATCAACGTTGTCTTTCTCAACTAAAAACGGAAAAATGCAGTAGGCAAATGGTGGCCCGTCTCTCCACATGGTCTCATTAAATTCGTTAAAATCAGATTGCTTTTGTTTAAGAGTTGTTAGTTTTTTTTGTGGTTTAAATGTTCAAATTCAGTTTTTTCTTTTGTTTTTTAAAGCCATGGAATGTTGTGATTTTTTGGTGGGTTCTTTAAAGCTGTGACTATATTTTTTACAGTTGGCAGAATATAGAATACTAGGGGAAAAGACCGCTGAACACTCGATTCGTTGATCTGCCGATATGAGCAAAATATTGGGACTTCGACGATCCAAAACTTTTGGAGATATATAATGGAGAGATAATTCTGTGCCACGCTGATTCGACAGACCAGACGAGACCATTCAGGTATGTACTTGGACAAGGAACTCAAGCCTTTATAGATTAAGGTAACTGATTAAAATTGGAAGGAAACAGGTCTGTGACTTGGAAGATGGAAGGAAGCATACCTTTGAAAGGGGGAATCCTTAAATACATGTATATATCCTATAGATTGAAAGCAGCACTTGAACGCCCTCTGTCTAATAAATGGCGGTAATTGAATAAACTTGGACTTTTTTATACTTATCCGACAGCGCACTTAACACTAAATAAAATCAGAAACGAGGGGGAACGTTGTGAGTTGCTGCGGACACCGCAACTCTACGGTTATACCCGATACTAAGTGAGTATGGCTCTCCTCCGGCAGACGCCGCTAATATTTAACGACACGACAAAGAGTGCGTGCGAGAGAGACAGAAAATCAGTCTGAGCGTGACGTCGGGCGCTGCGTAGCCACTGCAAATTGATTTGTTCCTTTTGGCTATAAAAATTATCTGATCTGATCCAGATTCACCAATCTGATAGATATGGTCATTATCTATGATTCTGCGTTTTTAGTTTTCTCGTATCCTCAATATTGTGGATGCAACAGATTTTCGTCCTTTGTGGGGGCGGAAGGGGGTGGGGCGAAATTTTGAGATATACGTTTTCTAGTGAGATCTAACAGGAGTGCGGATACTAAATTTGGTTACTCTAGCTTTAATAGTCTCTGAGATTTGTGAATATCCCCAGACTTGCATCCTTTGCGGGGGCGGAAGGGGGTGTGGCAAAATTTCGAAACAAACTCGTCTCGGTCCGATATATTAGGAGTGTGGATACCAAATTTGGTTGCACTAGCTTTTATAGTCTCTGAGATCTAGGCGCTAATGTTTTGCTCTAAGCAAAGCCGCCTATGCTACCTGTGTGTTAGAGAGAGACAGGGCGAGAAAAAATGAAATTGTTTTCTTGATGCTGGCTATAATAGTAATACGCTCCAATTCAGATTCTGCAGTCTAAAAGATATGGTCATTCTCTACGATTCTGCGTTTTTTGTTTTCTCGTATCTTTAAAATTGTGGATGCCACAGATTTTTGCCCTTTGTGGGGGCGGAAGTGGGCGGGGCAAAGTTTTGAAATATTTTTGTAGCAGTGACATATCACAGAAGTCTGGATCCAAAACATCGTTGCTCTAGCTCTTATAGTCTTTGAGCATTAGGCGCTGAAGGGGACGGACAGACGGACAGACGGACAGACGGACGGACGGACAGACGGACAGACGGACGGACGGACAGACAGACATGGCTCAATCGACTCGGCTATTGATGCTGATCAAGAATATATATACTTTATGGGGTCGGAAACGATTCCTTCTGGGCGTTACACACATCCACTTTTACCACAAATCTAATATACCCCAATACTCATTTTGAGTATCGGGTATAAAAATCCGGCTTAACCGTTGCCTTACTTTACGAGCCAGTACTCGCATTGAGATGCTTTTGCTGATGTAGCCCCCTAAGTCTTGGGGCTCAAACAACGACCCACACGCAGTCCAATGGATGAGGGGGAAGGACTGTGCTTTCTAGGAAGGACGGATATTACATGCACCTAGTGCAATATTCAATGCCTCTGGTGACATCCAGAAAAAAACAGCAGAAGAAAGGAGATGCTGCCACCACCTTTCTCTGTGTGTTGGTTGGGCATGTGGCACAACACGCATACAGGAAAAGGATATGAAATGACATTCGAGTTTTTCTGCGCAACACATTACACCCCCTCGATTCGTTATTTGTTTTGTTTGTTGTTTATTTGGCTTTTGTTGTTTCAATTAAAGCGAGGATATATGTAGGTACTCAGGGTATCAAATATTCATGACAAACGGCGCCCAAGTGGCAGCAAAAACAAAGCCAAAATGTCGGTCATTAATTATTCAAAGCGTGAATTGATGAGATTGAGGGATTGGCATAAAGCCCAATCAGTTCAAGGGTCACGGCTTACCCGATTGATAATTCAGTGGCACAACCGCTTACGCCCAACTTTAAGCTGATTATAAAATCTGACCTTAAGACTGAGCTTGTTTAGGGGGGATAATTACAGAGCAGAGCCTTCGAGTTGGCTAAACAACTCCCTTTGTGGACCCTTTACAGTAGCTGGTACCTTTTTGGACATAATCCTGCTGGGATAATTAAGAGCCACCCACCCAACTCTCCTCTTAGAACACTTAATACGATTGCCGCCTAATGGCTGGCCATGTACCCACCGACATTAAAGGAAACGATCATCTAAGCCCCATGCCCATTCGAAGGAACGACAACGATAAGCGGCAAAAATTACACACAAAGAAAAACATAATCATCAAAGAAAATTGTGCGCAATACTTGACGGTAGGGATTTTTTATATAGAAATTAAGAATACCAAAGGATATAGTGCCCCCAAATCTCTAGTCTACTTGTGGGATAATTCTGGCATAGCTTAAGAAAAATCAATCTCTGTCTCCACTCGATGCTAGAACTCCTGCAAAAAGTATAATGAAGATGTACAAGGTTAATTGAGCTGAAACTTTGCTTTGCAGTCCGAAAATAAAATCAACAGAAAGGACAGTGAATGAGCCCCTGCCTGCGAATGACAGGTGAAACCGACAGGTAGACTCTGCTTCTGCTTCTGTTTCTGTTCAAAGGCCATTTCGCTTTCGTTTCCCACACCCGCGGTGGCCTCGTCACGGGCTGTGTCCTCCCAAGGAAAACAAAGAGTATTGTCATTCCGAGTGGCCATAGAAGACACAGCTTCTGTGGCACATGTGGTTCTTGTAAGAGTCGGACAGTTCCTAGGGCTAGCAAATGGCACAGTTTAAAGTCCAGCCTTTGGTTTCCCTGTGATTGATGGAGTATTATTCCAGGACTATTTGAAGAGCAAATTGATATTTCCCAGGAGCTTCCATAGCAATAATTCAATTAAAAATACCTTTTGCCTTGCCACATTCCATCCCAAGCAAAGTTCCCATTTTACTTTCCTTCTCTCTCTACCACTAACAGTTTTTTCAAGCACATGCCAAGGCTCTTTCATGTTAAACAAACCCAACTCTTTTTTTCTTTGATTTGCGGTTTTCAACCAGGGACAAACACAATGGGGCATGGATATGGGATATGGGATATGGGACCAATCAAACGCACGAACCAATGATTGTGTGCGAGTTCTGATTGGAAAATCCTATAAATAGAAGGGAGCCCTGCCAATGATCAACCATTTCATGCGACCAACTCGTGGGTTATATACGCACAATATTTATTTATAGCCAGCGATGACCCTACTTCCCCAACAGGTCTCTCCTGACAGTCGCAATGACAATCCCTGAAATGATAAACGTCCCAGGGCTTTGAGTTTTTGGGACAATTGTTGCCATGGGGCTTCGGTCTCAGGGCTCGTTCGCACTCAATCAAGCGCTGAATGGAACGAGTATACAGTAGGCCCTGAAGGCCGTACGCCGTACTGGCCAAAGGGCTCTCTGGGGCGCACAAATAAAACAGGAGCGAGCCGAAAAAAGGTGCCAAATGCCAGGCAAAGGAATTTTATGCGCATTAATTATACGCAAAAAGCACTCACGCTCTATGCAAATGAATTATTTAGTCTGATATTTAAGCTGATTGAGATGAATTAACTTGAAATGAATATCAAAGGAGGGGAAAGGGAGAAAGGGCTCTGCTCCACTCAACACGTGGGCGCGCCATGAAACTTGAGAGTCGGCTTTCCCACGGCGATTTTCGCCCACGTATGTAATTATGCCACAAAAAAGGAGTCATACCGGGGAGGTGGGGCCTCCTCAAGTGTCACTGGATTTCCATATCCGAGTGTGTGTATGTGTGTGTGTGTTAGGGCCACTTTGCTGCAATTAAAGTTCCAGAGCAGCCGCCAAATTGCAATTTTTATTTGACTTCTTGCCTACTTTTAGCGATTATAAGCGCTAGTCTCTAGCCCCCAACTTTTTGCAACCTTTGGCGGTCTCCCCCCCCCCCCCCCCCCCCCCCCCCCTCTGGTGTTGCCTCTTAGTTAGCCCGAGTGGGTGTTGCACACAAAAGTTGTGCTGTTCTGTGTGTTAATGACTTTACGACTACCATAGAAAGTTTTTCCACTCTTTGTGTGAGTTGCAAAAAGGTTAATAGTTTGATAGCATAGGGTCCCCATATAATGGCTTCTAATTAGGTTTAATTAGAAATATACTTATACTCTTAGCTGTGACAATGAAAACCAAACAACAAATGATATCAACTTACGTGGCTTCGGTCACAAACGAATCAACCAGGGACGTGGATTTGGGAAGGCTACTAAAAATAATCAAAATACAAGAAAATAAAGAGTAAAACTTAACAAATTAAAAGGAAATAAATTGAAATAAAGTTTAAATATTTCATAAATAATAATAAATTGAATAAAACAAATTTTAAACAAAAATAAAATGAATATTAAGTAAATAAACTTCTTAAAATTATAATAAAAATCGAATTAAAGACGTCGCGTGATAGTTTGTATATAAAATATAATATAGAAACTATGATTGTACTGATTCCGATATTTTTAAGTCGTGGAACGAACCCTCGAGGGTCTTAAATCAGTCTGTCTTTCGTATACTTAAGGGGCTTTCCGTTTAATAGATAATTCCTTCGTTTTTATATGTATTACCTCAATGGGCTTTTGCCCCTTTACCAGGCCTTAAAAAACTAATTAGATTAAATAATTTCCTGGGGCAAAAGCCGGCCTTTGTACGTCGTGTTTTGCGCCTTTTCCCCCTACATTTTATACACATTTCCATCTGCAGATGGAATCGCCTTTTGTGCAAAACGCCAGGATAATTACCTGCAAAAAAAAGGAAGAGAAGAGTGAAAAGTTTCCAATGTTAATGAAGATGTATATCGTTCAGTGATTTTCAGTGTGTTAGTGGGAATTAATTAGGCAGTTTCGTGTTGGGAAAAGGGAGCCCGGCTGGAAATACTTCCTGTCCGACCTGTCCTGTCCCGTCCCGTCCCGTCCTGACCTGACCCTCTCTAATTAAGCCAGAAGGATATGATATTACAAATGCGAAACAGAGCCGCGAACATGAAAGCGAAAATGAAATGAAAGTGCAAAGGTCACGCCAAACGATGGGGCCCAGCCCATAAATCTCTCCGCCCAAGAAAAACCATTTCTTACCATAAATCAACTCGTTTCTGAGTGGAGAAGGAGGTGCAGAATATGGTACTTCTTGCAGGATACAACAAGGACAGTACGATTGATAAACAATACAAATCGAATTGAATTCAATCGAAGGAGGAGCCCGAGGCGCAGGAGTAGGCAGGGGCAGCGCACAAACAGAAGGTGAAACAATTGTTTCCAATTGAAACGTAATGTAAATCGTGCCCCCGAGACAGCAGCGGCCTGACCTTGACCCAAATGCGGGAAAATGCCACACGAGCCGACGTGGTCCCGTGGTCCCATGGTGTCCTGTGGCACAGAAGAACAGTGCACCAGTGTGGCAGGCAGGCAGGCAAAGGGCAACCAAGATAAAAGTCTAAGGCTGCCACATATCGTAGACAAGGACATTGGGAAGGAGGAGTGGGACGGTGCCTGGCCATGCGTAATTTATGCCAACTGATGCCGCCGCATCATGCAACACAGCGGAAAAATTGCAAATTTTATTCAATTAAGTGTAGCGCTTTTCCCACCAGTTTTCCATCATCCTTTCTCTCTCTCGCTCTCTCTCTCTCTCCCACAACCGCCAACAACCATTTGGTTATGGCAAATTGTCAGCCACATACCCAAGCAGCAGCAACAGCAACAGCAACAGTTCCTCTCCTTCAGGCGCTGCATGGAGGTCCTTCATCAGTTTTCTTTCTGCATTCATTATAGGGTTAATTAAGTATACGCCATGGTGTCATGGTGTGCGCTCTAGATAGTAAAAGTCTCCATGGCAGATAGCAGATGCATTGCCGATCGATACTCGAGTCGTGCAGCATATGGCAGGCGGCATTAGTTTGATTGGACCACGCCCCCACGAGACGCCTGCTTGATGGGATAATTATTGTTTGTCTTTTGGCCGAGCAAAATAATTTCAATATGGGAAATGGTACACGCAAGCACCAAGACCATATTGAGGATATAGATATTTATGGGATGGAAATCCAGCAATCCGTAGTTCGTTCTATCCTTTTTGAAAGAGAATTTAATGAGTATCTTCCAAGAAATCCCCCAGGAAATCTCTGAACATATAATCGCTCATTCTGTGTATGTATATTCCACTATAATCCAGCAATCTGTAGTTTGTTCAGCTCTGTGGAGGGTGGACTGGGCTGGGACTGGGACTGGTCAAGGGGTAGTCGCGGTGCATTGCTCATACGCCGCGTAAGCCAAGGCAAATGGCGGCACACCCCTCTCGCGACGAAGCATCCAAGGACTGCGCCATCGTGCAGCAACGTGTTGACCTTTAGCACACTTTCGCCCCTTACTCTGCCCTCCCCCCCTCTGCTGTATTATCTTAATTGGTATGCAGGCAAAACTGTGCTGGTATTGGTGTTGATTTAGTTGTGTTTGTGTGTGTCGTATGACTTGGCATATTTCATTACTCAATTACAAAGCAAACGCTCGTTCGCGCTCGCTCTCTCTCTCTCTTTCTCTCTCTGTCTTGGGACTAAAACCGTTTGCAATTTTCAATTAACGGGTACACAAACACACACAGATACAGATACATGGCATACTCCCCCACAAAAGCTCGGAAATCAACCTCCAGCCTAATGCTTGCCCCCTAAGAGATAATCAATGGCTCGTTGGCTGTCCAACAGCCACGGAAACCCGCGGGGATTGGCAGCGTGTAGTCCTGATGTGAGTCTCCCGCCGAAGAATGCCAACTCACAGATGAATGAATCGCTGGAAAGAATGGATTGATGAGTTGTGCTCACCACCACCCCCCAACCCCAAACACCCTCTCAAGCACCTCCAGCCCGAGAGTTAATGAAAGATGCAATATGGCAGAATGATTCAGCCAGCCGGCGGTCGGGTCGGATCTCCATTTCTCTCTCTAATGCAAAAGAGAGAATATTTAATTAAGAAATGCTTTTGACTTTGGAATGCGAGCGAAACAAAGCCTGCCAAAGGATGGCGAGCGGAGGTATTTATTGTTTAGCTAATAAATGGGTACAGGTTCTTCCAATTACAGTAAAACCTGTTTAAGTTGAACAATCGAAGAGAGAAGACAACAAAAGAGGGCAGTCCTCTTTTGTCCCCTATTAAAAAAGGCCATTACGTCTATGAATGAAGCATCTATTGAAGATCGAAGTACAGCTTTTGAGGGACTTGGGATCTATGGTTTCCCCAAACTTTCATCCATGAAAAACCTTGAACAAGTGTTACAAAAACACAATTCCTTACACCGAGATATATATACTTTTAAAATTGACTCTTTCCGACCCCAAAGCCCCACATTATCCAAGAAGAAACCTTCGATCTTAACCTGAGAACTTTATCGGCTTTTGGTAGCAATATTTAAGGTGTTTTTTTTTACAGAAAATATGAATGCCGAAAAAGGTAACAACTTTTATTTTAAAACTATTAAGGTATTCCCAACCGAAAAAGGATACAACTTTTGTAATCTGAACTGTGGGAGCATACCATATTTCTACCTTCCTTCTTCCCCAAAATGTTCTCTATACATAATGAAGCCCCTCCTTCACTCCAACAGCAATTATTCGTTGAACCTTAATTGTTCGCTTCCGGGTCCAAAAATGGTTTTAACCATAAAATGTTTTGGCCGCCGAAACTAGAACCTGAAGACTTTAATTTTTTCGTTTTTAGAGCAACTTTTGACAGCCATTTGGAAGAGCCAGGGAAACCTTTTAAGGGCGCTTCTGGGCATGAAAATTTAACAAGTTCTTTCGGGTCGGGGGGTCTGGGACGCTCGTAAAATGTGGGGCCCTGTCACGTACAGGCATCACTGGGAATGTGTGTGTGTGTGTGTGTGTGTGGGGGGGAATTTCACTTAAAGGCTACTCTTATCTACGTAGAACTTGGGAACGAGTGTTGGAAGACAAACATACAATGCGGATAATGTCATTAGCAGTAAAGTTTCGTATCACCGAAAAATAATTTTCAAGCATATCAAAACTTGCAAAAGGAAGTTTTGATTACCATCACAATATCACAAGAAATGCTCATTAAAAGTTACGTTTCCGAAAAAAGGGTTCCGCAAACTCGATTAAAGGGGAGCCCGGAACCCCAAAAAAAGAAAGTCGAAATGTCAGGCTTGCCATTTAAATTGCAAATTCCCCAAAATAAAGAGAACCCAAAGCTCAAAAGCCATGGTTGACAGACTGACGAAGCCGTTGACTGACTGACTGACTGACTGAAAGACTGACACTGTTGTTGACAGTATTAATTGCTCACGTTAACGTCGAGTAGCGCACAAACCGAAAATTGAATTCCAACCAACGACAGCAGGAGGAGGAGGAGCCAGAGGCTCCACAGCGGCAGGACGAAGGACCCGCGCCGGTGGCAGCTAAAAACTGAAATTGAATTACCAGTGTTTTCTCCGTCGAACTATAAACACATTTGCTGTCGGCTGTCGCTTGTTCCATGGCATTTCACCAAAGAAAAGCAAAACTAAACGGGTTTGGTCGTAAAGGAAGGAAAAAGGAAACAAAATGAAACCCCTTAAGGACAAAAAATATATATATAAGTCTTGGAAGATTTAGGAATTGCTTCCGAAAACCCAAACAGAGGTAATATCTATTAGAGTGACAAATATTTATTTAAAGTAGAGATTAGCCCGGTCTAAAAATTAAAGGGATTCATAAAACATCTTTAATAAATCATTTAGGGTCTAGAAAATTTCGAATGATTGAATAAATTCTACATTTTTGGAGCTCCTTTGCTCTGGTATTCACTAAGTCTTTCACCAAGTTTTGGAGAGCATTTTTCATTTAATTTGGGCACCTGTATTTTCAGTAATGTTCTCCGAATTCGTGGTGTTTCCACAACAAATGTGTGCTCCTGTAAGCAAATTGAATGCGTCGAACTGCCAAACAGATGGCCCCCCCCCCCCCCGACAGTTCCACCCCCCACTTTTGCATAAGGTGTACAGCTCCCGCCTCCCCCCTGGGTGGCCCGTCATTGTGATTAGGCAAGAGCTTGGAAAAGCCCTGCCATAAATTTCCGCTGCAGATGAGAGTCACAGGAGCAGCAACAGCTACCAAAAATTTATGAACCACAGCGCAAAACAAAATGGCCGCTCTGAAAGGCAGGGCTTGGGGCTATGTGTTTTACAGTCGACCAAATCTGCACACACCCCAGCAGACCCCCC